TTCCTTGGTTACAAACTGGTAACCAGGGAAGGCCTAGATTAAAACCACCACAGGTATGAAATATTCCTTTGATCAGTTGGGGTCAGCTGTCCTGGCTTTGTCCCATCCCAACTTCTTGTGCACTTCCACTGGTGGGGCAGTACTGGAAGTAGAAAAGGCCTTGACTCTGTGTAAGCACTACTCAGCAATGACAAATATATCTGTGAATTATCAACACTGTTTGGATCACAAATCCAAAACATAGCTTCATACGAGCTACTATGAAGGAAATTAACTACCACAACCAAAACCAACACAGGTCCCTAGCTGGAAAGCATCAGATGATATTTAAAACTTTTCAGTGAGAGGAGGAATTGCTTGTATGGTACACCACAGATAATGCAGGGAAAATCAAAGAACCCCATAGGCAAAGGAGCAGAAGAAAATGTGACAAGGATGTTTAAATATGACTACCTCACAGTTATTGTTTCCATGAATTTACCATTTAAATGCCTATATTATAGAACTTAGATTTTGAGTCTTTTAATAAAAGGATGAAAGGAAACAGTCTTGCTACCATGAAAATGTGTTGTGTTTTTCTGGGGGTGTGTGTTTTCTCTTTCCCCTACTGGAACAGATGTTTTAAAAGTCAAATTTTGGTATAGCCTGAAATGCTTTCTCTTGCAACTTGGTTAGCAATAATAAGTTGCAGTGATTATTTCTAGAAAATGTACGTGATGACTTAAACTGTGTATCTTTTCCTTTTCAACCTCAAGAAAGATTAAACCACTTTGGCATGCTGTTGATAGAAGTTGTTGGAGTAAGAGATTGCTTGTCTTTCAAGTTCTCAAAAGAATGTGAACTTTCTCAAGCTGATTATGATTGGCTTTGCCCTATAATAGCTTTTAGAAAATATCATCTGAGCTGCTAGAAATGTGTATGAAACATATATCTTGTATGTTTTTTCCTACAAACTTTAAAAACTCAAACAATTAGATTTTTAAAACTATGGCAAACAAGTTCTCTGAACTTAGAGTGATACTGACAGATGTTGTAGTGTAAGGAGTTCCAGAGTACCTTTGGTTTTTTAGGTTTGGATTGGGGTTTTTGCTACTGTCCCAGTTTAAATGAGACAAGGGTCTTTTGCTGAGGATGGGTTAGGAGAAAAAGATCCAAACTTCTCTTTCTAAGCAATTATAAATCCGAAATTCAGAGACTCCAATTGAAGGAAAAATTATGGAAAAGGGAAAAATAACAGCCCTTTATTAAAGGTATGTGTGTATTAACAGAAACACGGGGAAAAAAAAAAAGTAAAACAACCAATCAATACTCCTATACCCACCAATAATCCCCTTCAAGAACAAAACTGATAAATCGGCAAAAGGAAAATTAAATAGTTCAATTTTTAGCACCCTTTGGTGCAGTTCCAACCACAGTCAGCAGGGGGCGCCGTTGGGTCACTGGAGGTACAAAACTTGTGATGTCCTGTACCATTCACCAGGTGATGCTGTTGGGTCACTGGAGGAGTAGAACTTGTAATGTCCAGTGCCTGTCACCAGGCAGCACTGTGGGATCCCTGGTCACTGCCACGTGGGATGGGGGAAAAACAATACCCTCCCGGTATGTCAGAGGGAAAGAAAAAAACCCAAAAAACCAACTCGGTTCCCCTTCCCACACTGGAAAAAAGGGGGGGGGGAAGGGGGAAGAAAAAGGACAGCAATAAAACAGAAAGTTCTCCCAATGGAAGAAAACTCACTAACTTTAACTGGTTAGGGTTCACTTTAAGCAGGGCCTGCAGCCAGGAACTGTTAAGAAGAGAGCAGCAGCAAACTCCCCTCTGACAGGAAGAAAAACAAAACCAGTCAGCGTCTGCAGCTTGCAGCAGGTCCTGAGCCCACCAGTACACCAGCCTCTCCTCCCCACCTCCTTCCAGCCACACACCCTAGCCCCCCTCCCCCAACTCCTCCCCCTTCGTTTTCAAGAAGACTAATCTCTCGGCCATCAGTGGACCAGGCCAATTCTTTTGTTCACCTGATGGCCCATACACAGAGCACACACGGGAGGGGAAAGGAAAGAAAAATTCCTTGCTAAAATCAGAACTATGACAGCTACGTCAATAATTTTCCCTAAAGAAAGGTGAAAAGGTATTAGACTGTGTAGCATTTTAAACACTTGGAAAAGCAACTGAAGTCTGTCATGATGCAATGTGGAATGTTTATGCATGTACTAAAATTGGGAAAAAAACTACCAAAAGAAAAACCCTTTACATTTTAAATTTATTTTTTCTAAATTCTGTATTGTTTTGAACTGGTTTATACTTTGTTTCAGGGCAACAGGCTTGAAAAATATTGACCTGTTCAATTGTGCTCACTTGTTACACTCTTGTGGGATCTGTAAGTTGGTAGGATGTTTTTTAAAAGCTGTATCAGTTTCTTCTACAGACTGCACTGACACTACTAAGGGAGGGGGGGTGTTAGGGGAAGGTTGGAGAGGGTATTAATACCAATGTCAAAATAAACTGTTCTCGTGGAGCATCACTCACCAGCAGGCAAATATATTGTTTGAGGACCAAAACTGTGTTTTCCAGGTGCTTGGCTTCAGATGTGATTGCTCATAATGCTGCTTTGTACCGTTTTTTGAATTGTGTGAAAATTGTGGAAATTGAAAATTAATGTAGTAGCATTTAAAGTGAAATTTTGAAATTGCTTCTTCTTTAGTTCCCCCCCCTATTTGTAAGAAGATGATAGATGTAAGGGGGATTTTTTTAACATACATATGTGTAACTGTGTACCTTCTCTTAAATAGCTCCTTCCTTCCAGGGTTAGCATCTGAATTACTGGGATTTAATCTGAATAACTGCTCATGCAGTAGAGGGTCATAAGTAATCTCCTGACAGGGAATAGAGATTTATATTAATTTTTAATAACTAAGGCTTACTTAATGTAACTGTATTTGGGACTAAAGAAAGCTGCTCTCCATTACTGTTTTTTACCCCTTAGCATGCCAGTAATTTTGTGTTTGTAGTAAAATGTGGGGAGGCTGGGGGAGGAGAATTCTAGTTTTCTTTCATGAATACGTTAGCTAAAATACTGTGGCAAAAAAAATTGGCTACAATTAAGTCCTGAGACAGGGTGAATCTGGGCCCTGCTTAGGTGATACTAAGAAGTAATGGCTATGTTAAATTTTTACTAGGTCAGCACTAGACAAGTGAAACAAAAATAAAAAGCCAAGTACATTGATGAATGCTGAGGTGGATGGGGACAGGGAACCCCGGAACAGAGGCTTTCCTTTTACCCCTGCTCCAAGGGGGAGCGGTGCTCTCCCCCTGGTGTCCTGTCCCCCCCCCCCCCCCATGGCACCTCATGGCCCCCTGGCAGAGAGGACATGGGGCCGTCAGTCAGGCAGGAGGGAATGCAGGCAGAGAGAGCATTTATTGATCTGACAACAGCTTAAGTAGGTCTTGGGGGAATTACAAAGTAACCACTGAGAGCACAGGACGTCTTACAAACAACCAATGATGACAAAGGGTTAACAACCAATAAGATGACCTTTCAGTTATCTCAGACATTCCAAGGATACAGCGAGGTATTTTGGGAAGAAGAAGGGTTACACAAAGAGTCACAATCACCATCTTGGAAACGTGGTCACTTTAAGAACATTACAAACTTCTGCATTCTTTTATATCCTAAAAGCATTTTGCAACAGTACGTATATATCCCAGTGAAGTTACACCTACATAAGCAAAGTGCTAGAAAGAGATGCTCTATGATTGTGAATTGACATGGTGTAGCTGATTGTTTTCATTGTGAAAAATTTCCGTCTTGTATCCAATCAGAATCTCCCCAGGGGTAACTTGTACCCATTACCCCCCCTCCTCTTTTCCATGTAAAAAATGAGTCTCTATTTTCTTTGTCACCACTCTTTAAATACTGGTGATAAGGTCTCCCTCTAAGCCTTCTTTTCTCAAAGCTAAGTTCTCTCAACCTTTCCTCATATGGCAGGCTTCACAGTTCTTTGATGATCTTTATGGCCCTTCTCTAGACCCTCTCCAGCCTATCCATATCTTTTTCGTATAGCAAGGACCAAAACAACGCAGTATTCCAGGTGTGGCCTCACAAGGTGCTGAGTAGAGTGGGATAATGACTTCTTTATCTCTGATGGTGATGCTCTTGTTGATACAACTCAGCATCCTGTTGGCTCTGCCACAGCAGCTCACTGTTCATTCATAGTGAACTCATTGTCCACCAGGACCCCTAGGTCCCTTTCCACAGAGCTGCTCCCCAGCCAGGTAGATCCCAGCCTGTGCTGCGCTCCTGGATTATGTTTTCCCAGGTGCAAGAGCTTACATTTGTTTTTGTTGAACTTCAAGGGGAAGAAACCAGGCTCTCCAGAGATGAGCCCAAGGGTGGTAAGCCAGAGTTAGGGGTGAAATCAGCAGCCCAGCTGAAGTGCATGTACACTAATGCACGCAATATGGGTAACAAACAAGAGGAGCTGGAAGCCATCATGCAGCAGGAAAACTATGATGTAGTCGCCATCACAGAAACGTGGTGGGATGACTCACATGACTGGAGTGCTGCTATGGATGGCTACAAGCTCTTCAGAAAGGACAGTCAAGGTAGGAGAGGTGGAGGGGTGGTTCTGTATATTAGAGGGTCTCTTGACTCTGTAGAACTCAAGGTTAGTGACAATAAGGTTGAGTGCCTATGGGTAAGAATCAGGGGGAAGGCCAACAAGGCTGACATCCTGGTGGGAGTCTGTTATAGACCACCCAACCAGGATAAAGAGGTGGATGAATTATTCTATAAGCAACTGGTGGATGTTTCAAAATTGCCAGTCCTTGTTCTTGAGGGAGACTTTAACCTGCCAGATGTCTGCTGGGAACTCAACACAGCAGAGAAGAGGCAGTCTAGGAGGTTCTAGGAGTAATCACAGTGGGGTTGGATCAAGGGTTGGACTTGATGATCTCGGAGGTCTCTTCCAACCCAGTTAATTCTATGTTTCTATGATTCTTGGAGTGCATGGAGGATAGCTTCTTGTCACAGCTGGTGAGCGAGCCTACCAGGGGTGGGGCCCCACTAGACCTGCTGGTTACAAACACAGAAGGGCTGGTGGGAGATGTGGTGGTCGGAGGCTGTCTGGGGTACAGTGATCACGAAATGATGGAGTTCTCAATGCTTCGTGAAGCAAAGAGGGGTATCAGCAAAACCTCTACCCTGGACTTTCGGAGGGCAGACTTCAGCCTATTCAGGATGCTGATTGGGAGAGTACTTTGGGAAACAGCCCTTAAAAACAAAGGGATCCAGGAAGGATGGACATATTTCAAGAAGGAAATCTTGAAGGTGCAGGAACAGGATGTCTCTATGTGCCAAAAGGTGAGCCGGCGAGGAAGATGACCAACCTGGCTGAACAGGGAACTTTTGCAGGAACTTAGGGGAAAAAAGAGAGTTATTCACCTTTGGAAAAAAGGGCAGGCAACTCATGAAGTGTTTAAGAATGTCGTTAGGTCATGCAGAAAGAAAATTAGAGAGGCAAAAGCACAATTTGAACTTAATCTGGCCACTTCTGGTAAGGATAACAAAAAGTGTTTTTATAAATACATTAATAGCAAAAGGAGGGGCAAGGAAAACTTCCATTCTTTGTTGGACGTGGGAGTGGGAGAGGGGGAACATAGTTACCAAAAATGAGGAAAAGGCTGAGATACTTAACATCTTCTTTGCCTCTGTTTTCAGAAAGACAGGTTGTCCTCAGGACAACTGGCCTCCTGAGCTGGTAGGCAGGGACTGGGAGCTGAATAGCACCCCTGTAATCCAAGAGGAAGCAATTAGTGACACGCTGAACCACTTGCATCCTCACAAGTCTATGGGACCAGATGGGATCCATCCTAGGGTGATGATGGAGCTGGCAGAAGAGCTTGCTAAGCTGCTCTCCATCATTTATCAACAGTCCTGGCTAACCAGGGAGGTCCCAGATGACTGGAAGTTGGCCAATGTGATGCCCATCCACAAGAAGGGCCAGAAGGAAGATCTGGGAAACTACAGACCTGTCAACCTGACCTCAGTGCCCAGCAAGATTATGGAGCAGATTATCTTAAGTGCAATCACACAGCACCTATAGGACACATGGGGGATCAGACCCAGCCAGCAGGGATTTAGGAGGGGCAAGTCCTGCCTGACCAACCCAATCTCCTTTTAAGACCAGATAACCCACCTAGTGGATGAGGGGAAGGCTGTGGATGTGGTCTATCTGGACTTCAGCAAAGCCTTTGACACTGTCTCCCATGATATACTCCTGGAAAAGCTGGCAGCCCATGGCTTGGACAGGTGCACTCTTCACTAGGTTAAGAACTGGCTGGATGACCGGGCCCAGAGAGTGCTGGTGAACAGTTCTGCATCCAGTTGGCGGTCAGTGACTAGTCATGTCCCCCAGGGATCAATATTGGGCCCAGTCCTGTGTAATATCTTTATTGATGATCTGGATGAGGGAATCGAGTCTACCCTTAACAAATTTGCAGATGACACCAAGTTGGGGGGGAGTGTAGGAGGGTAGGAGGGCTCTGCAGAGGGACCTGGACAGGCTGGATCGATGGACTGAAACCAATGGTATGAGGTTCAACAAGACCAAGTGCCGGGTCCTGCACTTTGGCCACAATAACCCCATGCAGCACTACAGGCTGGGGACAGTGTCTGGACAGCGGACAGGCAGAAAGGGACCTTGGGGTTCTGATTGACAGGAAACTGAACATGAACCAGTGGTGTACCTGGGTGGCCAAGAAGGCAAATGACATCCTGGAAGGCCATCTACCCTTACAGCAGGAAACACTGATGCTTTTATATCAATACCTTTCACATGTGCATAGCTTTATGGCCTGCCTGTCTTCCAGCAGGGGCCCATAGGCATGTCTGTGAGAATCTTATCTCTTCTTGTAGCCAGGGGAGTTACTTCTCTACAGACAGGGAGAACATACCCAGCACCATGTGTGAGAAAGAACTCTTTTCCATGCTAGGTCTTCCCTGGCAGCCAAGGTTTCCTTGATAAAATGCTCACTTTCCCCTCCTTTCAACTTTTCCAAAAACCTTTGCCCCTGACAGTAGCAAAGGATAGTAGTCTGTGCTCCCGACAATTTGTGGCACCCTCTCGGCAACATCTCAGACCTTAGCTCCCAGAACGCTGCATACCTCTCATGACTCTCTGTCAGGTTGGCAGATGGGTGCCTCATTGCCCCTTAAGAGGGTCACCCACTGTTAATTTCTCCACCCTAGGTGTACTGTAGCAGAGTTTCAGGTTTTAAGTCCAATAAGGTAATTTATTTGAGTGCTACAGTGGTAGAAACAGCTTGAACTGGGTACCTCCACAGAGGAACCCTGAACAAACAAAACCCTGGGTAATTATACCTTTATGATCTTAATTCCTTGCCCCTCTCATGACAGTTCTGACCAGTAGTAATATTAAGGTCTGGGGTCTTCCCATTCCTCACTGGGTCCCTTCATTTTCTCTAGGCTGGCTCCTTCTTATCTCTAAGGTTCCAGCTTCTGCTTGATGCCAAAACCAGCATAAAATAACTGCTCAGAGACAGTTTTGGGTCCTTAAGCAGCAAAGGTATTTATTTTGAGCAACATTGGGGTGCTAACCAGCTCACACTGGACAAACTAGCTCCAAAATTCTCAGTGAAAAGTCAGGTAATTTATACAGTTTTGGTGAGAGATTACAATATTTTATATGAATATTTATTAAAATTACATCATCTAGTTATAATATTCATATTAGGTGGGGTTCAGGCAGAGGTTGAGGTGGAGTCATCCTTTTGGGTAGATTCCTGGGGGTTGTTCCTGTTTCTTTGGCCTCGTGGGGGTCGTTTTCTCTGTTCCTCATTGTCATGAACTTTTCAACTCTTCCTGACTACGTGTGAAAGTCTTATTAAAGAACCCCTTTACTCAGCCCTTCACCCCCCCAAATGTCCATCCTATCTAATTTATGACTACCTTTAACCTTTTTGTTATCTTTCATTAGGACAGAGCATATCAGGCATAAGCAGGCCTCTTGCAGCCTGGTGCCTTCTCTCTCTTAACTAATCTCATAATACATGCTCTCTGTCTCTATCATTTGAACCTAAATGCAGTATTCCTCAAAGTGGGATCTGTGAGCCTCTCCTCAGAGCAGGATTCTAGCATCTAAAAATCCTTGCTGTTTCATGCTCATTAGAACCGGCTCTGGGGCCTCCTTTTATTGAACTAGGTAGAAGTTCAGCATACCTAGGTGAAAATTCACAGCTTGCAGCCTAAGGCCTCAACACACCTAGATATTAATGCTAAGTAAGTAATGCTAGGCAACTAATAAATATCCTTTCTTTACACCTGCTATGAGTACTTCTCTTTTTTTTTTTTTTTTTGTGATAACCAGTGTGTGCTGCTGTTACACTTTCTCCTTGCAGACCTTGCTTGTGTCTCTAGCTGTTAAAGCTTCATATTTGGTTTTGCTTGTAATGCTGGAGGGTGGAGACTGAAGCAGAGTCCTGTTTTTGTGGGTCACTGTTAAGGAAACTTCCCTGTCCAACCATCCAAGAGCCAGCCAGCCACTCTGGCAGTCACACCTGCACCACCTGCACTAGGACTGAAGCCCCTTCGCACTGGGCAGCTCCAGTGAGTTGACAGGTGTCCCGCTTGACTCCCTACACACACCACACACACAGTCAGACCAGATTTCCTAACCAACTCGACCCCAGGTTTCCTATAGCAGAGTCTCAGACATCCAGATGGTTCAAATAGTTTAATCTTGGTGCAATAACTAAATAAGTAACAGCTCAAGCTGGATGCCTCTGAGGAGGGATCTCGAACAGAGGACACCCCCCCCCCCCCCCCCCCCAGACTTTTATATCCTCACAGGAAAATCTGGGGTCCTTGACTTCTGCTATGTCTCTCAGTGTCCAGTCACCTGGCTTCATCCCAGGTCCCTGTGCCCTTTGCTGTGCAAAGGGTTGGTGCCAGTTCACAGCCCCTTGCCTCAGGCTCCAGCCACCCAGAGCTCAACCTGCAGCTCACACTGCAGCTGCACCTTGAGCTACCTACACCAAATGTATTCTTCAGCAGTCACCAAGGTCCAAGGTGCCTCATTCTCTGTGGTGTCCACCACAGGAGCATGGTTCTGAAACCACTTATCTATCTCTGTCTTGGCCCCGCTAATATTGCTCAACCTTTTATCTGTTTCCTGCAACTCGGTCACCTGATGCAAGAGATCATCAACCTATGAGCATCTTTTGCAGGTTCTTACCTTTTCTCCAGGATAAGGACCTGGGCCCTCATTGCAACCTTCCATCTGTACTGATGTCTCCTTCCTTACCAGTTCTGTCTGTGTGGAAGTGTTAGACATCTCGGGGGCTCTGTAGAAACACTGGTTTTAACTCTGGGGCCTACAAGCAGTGTGCAAGGCCCTTCTCACACACACTGCACAAACTGCTGCACCTTCTCAATCTCTGTTTGCATACCCTGTTTATATTTTTCCATTTTATTTTTATGCATATGTATTTATGTGTGTGTAGATAAATATACATATTTTTCCCCTAGGTTTAAGAAAAAAAATATTTCTATGAGAGAGCAGGGGCAGTGAGTTTGATAGAGGGAATGGTTAAATTGAATTCCTTCTTCATGACACCTATGTTAGTGTAAAATTGAATCCGAAAGATGCTAGTATTAAGTTCTTATTTAAAAAATAAAAGTCAATCAAATGACATAGTTTGAAATCATGTCATATCAGTTTTATACTTTATGAAAGAAGTAATGTTTTAAAATAAAATAAATATTAATTTTTTGTAAGGTTTGGCCAAAGTACGGAAAAACAGGGACATAGTCTGCACCTGGAAATATGTGACAGCTAGTGATTTGCCTTGGAATAAACTTATTCTCTTCTGGCTCTTGGACTACAGTGATCTCAGTGTTAGAAATAAATATATCAATTTTCTCTCTGATGTTTGGAAAAGTTGAGTTTTGGAGGTGGTTTTTGGGGTGGGTTTTGCTTATTTATTTAAGTGTAGGATTTAGGCATTTTTGGTGGCATTTTGTCACAGGGACTTGTCTGGTAGGTATTTTCTTGTGTCTCAAGGTTTCTTCTTGCTGAATTTTTTTCTTTTCATGTACCATCTTCCACTGTTCCTTTGACATTTACTTATGGCACTGTGCTATGCTGAGAAATGCTATTGTTTTATAATACTCTAATTTACCCAACACTAAAGGTAAGGTTAGAGTTGTGTATGATAATACTATTGTATTTAAAATATCTTTGGTGAAACATGGTGGAAGTTGCCTTTAATTTTTAGTAAATGGTTTAAATGCCAGTCATGTTCTACAGTGAGTGTCTTGCTTTTATTTTTCACGTCAGGTTAACATGTTAGCATTATAGCATCATGCCTGAAGTAGGCCCTCGATGACAGGAATGGGAAGCAGCTTTGTTGCTCTCCAACAAGTCTTAAGTAAACACAGCAGTCATATTTCTTCATATCCCCCCACTTCAAAATAAGGAAGCTTTATCATGGTTTGTTTCTTTCTTTCAAAGTCAATGGCTGCAAATGGTTTGTTGGGGTGCTGTCTACAGGCATCAGTTTGTGAATAGCTTAATTTTTTTCCCTCAGTAGTACAATTTAATTGGTGTTAGTAACAGGGAGAGTAGTGGTTCTGTTTTGTGGCTTTAAATGTTGTTAATTGTGTTCTGGTGCAGAAGATGATCAACCTACCCCCTTCTCCCCCCCCCCAAACTCTTGCTGGCTGACAACCAGATGAATTGTGCTGGCAGTGATAGGCTTAGACTTTGATATTAGCTTTTGGGTTTTTATTCTTTTGGATTTTGTTATCATCTTTAAAGAGGGGTTGTTTCTTTTTAAAGGCTTGCAACCCAAGTGTACATAATTTAAAATAATTTTGTTTGTATGGTGGTGTAATTCCAATGTTTTCCCCCATGATATCTTAAAAGTATGGTAGTATTTAACCTAATGAGGAATTTCATTAAAGTTTAAACTTGGTTCCTTTGTAAAATTATTTTAGAAACCCAAATGTTTGTATGTTTTTGAATAGTCATGAAATAAAGGTTTAACTTTAAATATTTTATTTGAATATGTTAAATCTAGTGTGAAATGGATGTATATGTGGAATAATCCAGTGGCTCAAGAGTATGTTCAGGTCACTGATTATATGACTTGGTACAAGTCATATAATCAGTGACAAATTCAGAGTTTGTCTGTGTGGGGAATTTTACTGCTGTTATTTTAACAGTATAAGATGGTCTGCATGGATTTATATTATGTGTGACAACACACCTCTGGTTTTCCAGTTACTTCTAAAAACACTTTTTTTAATCAACTGTTTGGTCGTATTTTGTATAAAGATGGTCCAAATCACTACATGAAATGTAACTTTCAAGTGCTTCCTTAAAGATACTTTCCCCCCGCTATTCTTTTAATGAAAAAAATTAAACTAGGGGAACAAAACAGAGTTTATATTTGCTTTGAAGAAATGCATGCTCAAAATAAAAAATTAGGGGGACGACACAATCTAAAAAGACTTAAAACAATTGTGTGTTTGTGTATACACAAAAATATGTGGGGTTTGATAGAGTTAAGTAAGGATTTTGATGGGTGAAAAATAGTTTTGTTTGACTCCTCTAAATTAATGATAAATGTTCTTCCTTCTTTCTTCTCTCCCTTCCCTCCCTCCCCTGCTGCTTCCTCTTTCTGCCCCCACACCCCCTGCTTCTTTTAAGGTTTAGTGAAAAGTATCTGATTAAACTCTGAATTTTCATTCCTGATTTATTTAATCCAGTGCATTCATTTGTATGCTATCAGTGTGTCTGGGCTAAGCAAAACAAACACCTGAAGAAAAGTACTAAGATCAGTGTTTACAGAGCCATCGTGCTGTCTACTCTTCTATATGGTTCTGAGTCATGGGTCATTTACCGGCACCACTTGCGTCTCTTAGAACGCTTCCATCAGCGCTGCCTCCGTACAATCCTAAACATCCACTGGACTGACTATGTGACCAACACATCTGTCCTTGAGCAGGCAGCAGTCCCAAGCATTGAGGCCATGCTGCTGAGAACACAGCTGTGCTGGGCAGGGCACGTCTCCAGGATGCAGGACCACTGCCTCCCTAAGATTGTGCTCTGTGGGGAACTTGCCACTGGCTGCAGTGAGAGAGGAGCCCCGAAGAGGAGATACAAGGACTGCCTGAAACAGTCCCTCAGCCTTGGCAATATTGATCACCACCATTGGTCTACCCTGGCCTCCAATCGGGAGGCCTGGAGACACACCATCTATAACGCTGCTGCTGCTTTTGAGAACACACGCAGGATCACTCTCGAGGAGAAAAGACAACGCAGAAAGAATCGCGTCTTGTCGATATCACCTGGGGAGTCTTTCTGCTGTGCCTTCTGCAACCGGACTTGTCTATCTCGCATTGGCCTTTTTAGCCATCAGCGCGCTTGTAGCAAGCGTGGGTAGAGCCCCTCTCAAAT